AAACTAAGGTTTTTCGGTTCCTAATTTGAAAATGAAATTCACCGTCGATAGACCTGCTCGGGATCATTGAGGCGTTCTTCATCAATATCAATATCGAGTTTATCGAGTGTGGTCAGCACTTCTTGAGTATCACGGTGCTGCGTGTATGTCATCCAGCAGCACGGTTCTACCTCATTAGCATCCAAACCCCAGTACTATAAAATACCACATTATTTCAGGTTTGTAGGCACAACATCTTTTCAAGCTGTAATAGTCAAGATTATCTATTGTGCGGCTCAGTTCGACTGTAATGATGTGCCACACTTATGAGTAGCTGCTCACGATACGTGTGTGAATAGTTCAAATCAACTAGACGGGCCTGAATATATATTTTGTGTGGGTAACTTATGCCTGCAGCTGTGTAAACACTGGCAGTAGGCATTAGTGAGGCAGCAGTTTTAGCTAAAGAAGAAGCACATTACATTTCTGAAGATTTTCTCCAATACAGCTCCTCTGTTGCGAAATATAGCGGTTTAATTTAAAGGAAGCGTTTGTGGCTAATTTGCCCGAGCAAAAATTAACACCTCTTAGCTTGGTTTAATGCTTTTTTGCTTGATTTTCGCCTCACCCTAACCGAATTTGTGTTCATTCGGCTAAATTTTGCAATCCTCAAGTCTGTTCTGTACATTTTTCACTCACCACAGAAACCTGTTTTCACTTGGTTTCAAATGCATCAGCGAAGCTTCTAACGCTCTTTTAGTGTTTAGGTTTAGCAAATTTTTACACATTAAATTTAAGTAACGAAAAGATTGAGCATCCTTTCTAGCAGAATATACAATTTTCGAGGTTGATTACAAGTCTGCCATGCAGATTTTTCAAGCACTAAAAAAATTAGAGATTTTTACTGTAGCACTTTCTCTCCGCCTCATTTCCATTGGGCAGGACATCAAACTCTAAAATGATGCAGTGTTGTCGCGTCAAGGCATACTTTCGAAACATAGCTCTGGCTCATATTTTGCTCTTTTTAAGTGGAAAAAGCTGATGTCGTGGTACTTCGACTGGGAGACCACTCGTTTCTGCTAGTCGAAGCGATGTGAAAAAGTTGTTAGAGCAGAACGGGGAAGGAAGCAGCAACACCCTTGCTCATTTAGGCTAATTATCTGACTGCGATGCCGCTTCGTTGCTTGCCCAGTCATTAATAATTAAATACTGTGCAGAGCGTCCTGATCGGCTTGCTATTTTTCAAGCTCTTTTTGACATTTGCACAAGTGTAACGTTGCTGGACACGCTTAAAGTGCACTACGCCGCTGTGAAAATGTGAATGGTGCTGCAGCGCAGCTGTCACATTACCTCATGCTTTCTTAGATCTTTCAGCGACCCGTTTGAATTCTTAATAAAAGTCAAAAACAGCATTTTCTTAGTCAGGGGCTAAAATGAGTGAGGTGTCTAGCGCTCAGTGACAACAAATCACTAAAGGAGAACCCGATAAATGGAAATATTTTTTTCTTCACCTACGACTTACTACCCCTTTTCTGCTAGACCTTATGCAAGCCAGTTCAGCAAAGGGCCCAGATCGTCCTAACACAATTTCAAGCTGACATTATATGCGGATCCAGGCGTTCTTTTGCTCGGTCAGCGCATGCTTGTTCAGAATAGAGCACTTTTGTGAAAATGAAATTAGTAAGTCTAAGGGCCCAAAATACCTTCAGTTCTTCTTCAAACAGTGGCCCACAGACATCCAACGGATAATGGAGCTTCCCGGTTCGATAATAGTTCAGTATGAGCGCGAAAACACCAGGATGCCGGTCGAAAAAATATTCATTCAGCACTGGATCATAATTAGCTAAATTTGTTGTAAGCCGACTCAATCGAGTTGCTGGGATCTTTTTCAACGTATGCTTGTAAGTTTCATGCCGTATGCCACCGACATTTAAAATTACGCGATACTCACTATCCATAACACTATTCCTGAAACTAATTTTATTGAAAAGAATTACTCGTAACTACCTGTACTTAACCCAGGCTGAAACGCACCGGGCGGGTCCGTGCGATCATGCGTTTTTGCACCGGACTTGAATTAC